TCTTTGAGCAATCCGAGTGGGTGTCCCTAAAACCAGGTGCTGTGCCTGGGAGAAAGTTCCAGACCAACCCTCCATACTGGTCGATACGCTTTTCATTTCTGCATTGTCTGCTTCCTCTGAGCAGAGAAACGGACACAAAACCAAAAGGCAGGGGGCTGGGTGCGCCCCAGGGCCGGCCCCCGTTACGTAAGCAAGGGCTGAGCAAGCAGAGCCTGAATGCTCAGAGGCAATCGGGAGAAACACGCGTACATGGCGTGGGCAAGTGCTGTAAAGAGCTAACTGCTCTCCACGGCATGCTTTTCTGTTAAAACTGCAGATGATTGGAAAACAAAGTAACTGTTGGACGGGGGAAGTCTAAAACCCTCGGCTGCCTGAGCTGCGATACGCTTGCGTCGGGGCCGCTGCTCACCTCCAGGTAACCCGAAAACCTGCCTTCGCTGGAAACCGTCAGAGTTCCCTCGGCCTGTGTCGTGTGGGCGAAGAAAGCGTTTCTCCAACCAGCGTCGGGAGAGGCAGCCCCCCCCCCCGCCCCCGCACCATCACGCACGGGGACAGCGGGCGCCCGGGAGCAGACGGGCGCAAGGGGGCCTGACCACGGTTAAAGCTTGGTCTCCTTTGAAATACAGCTCCCGTGTTTCCAGGATGAGTCTCGAATGCAGCGGCCTTACCACCTCAGGTAGGGGTAGAGAACAATGACCAAAACCCAAGAGCAATTTCCAGCCATCACTTGACAAAACGGTGAGTGAGAAGACGCAGGCCAGGCCCATGGAGACACCCGAGCAGCCGCCCGGAACCAGACAAGTCACAGCAGTGAACTCGGCGACACCACGTGCCGTCCCCTCCCCCAGGAATCCCCTCTGCAGGACAGAAATTCCCATGCTCCGGGCTGCCTGCTAAACTCTCCACTAAACACCAACATTCGTCCATGTTCTCCAGAGTCCTTCTGGCATTATCCATGGCACCTTCATCCAGCATCAGCGCCATGGGGGTTGGCAGCTGGAGGGAGGGGGGAGGGGGAGGGAGGCAGCGGGTGCTCATTCAACTCCCCAGCCGCAGCCTGAGCACAGAACTCCAGGCCTAGCAGGGGGCTGAGTGGAGCGGGACGTCTGCGCGCCGCTTGATCAGAGAAGCGGATGGGGGGGCATCTGAGGGTTTCTCCCGAGCTCTCCCCGATCTTCCTCCCTGGCCCTCTCCACCCCAAGGAAACAAAACTTTCCCCAAGTCTCTGTCCCTCTCCCCCTTCGCCAAGACTTTAAACAAAGGAGCAGGGGCAGCTGCTTCCCAGAGTAGGTGGGAGGTTCAAAGGCGCCTGGCACCTCCTAGCACTGCCTCTCGCTGGCGGGGGAAGAGCGACTCTGGCCGGCGGGAAACAATTCCGTCTTCTCCAAAGATCTAAAGACTTCTTGAAAGTAAATCCCTTGATCAGCACCTTCCTGGCTTTTCCCTCCTTCCCCTTGAACCTTCCTCTGAATTAGCACTGCTCAAGATTCACTGTGCTTAAGAACCATCTGGAAATCTGGTTACAATGCAGACTCTGAGACGGCAGGTCTGGGACGGGGCTGAGGCGCTGCATTCGTGATCAGCTTCCGGGTGACAGACTCTGGTCCAGGGACCACACTTGGAAGAGAGGGTCTCGATTCTCTCAGCTTCTGAGCCTGAGTAACCCCACCTACTGACGCCTGAGATATCCCCAACTTCCAGCGAGCGCAATTTCCCATCAAACGCAGACCTGGCATTCACAAACACTCCCTGCGCCGCCTCGGCCCCAGCCCCCCTGGCGGTGTGGGGGCCGCCTCCCCGCCAGGCTCCTCTAGGCTGGCAAATAATCAAGTCAACATCAGACAGGTGGACCAGAGGAAAAAACAAAAAGAAGTTGAAAGATAACGTGCAGCCCCAGCACACCTCGGAGAGACCCAGTAAAAGTGAGTAACTCACCAAAATGGTTTCAGAACTTCAGGGGTGTAGGAGAAAGGCCCAGTAAACAAGGGTGTGACTGCGTCGCAGCTGGAAACTGCAGCCTCTCCAGGGAGAAGCCCAGAGACTGGGAGATTAAACCTTCCAGAACAACAGGAGGGAGACTGCTCTAGGAGATTCCCTGACACATGCAAATGCATCTGACAAAAGGGCAACTCTGGGAGCCCTCCTAGGCAATAATCCTTACGCAGGAGAGATTTTGGGGTGCAGATTTTGCTCCCCCTCCAGTAGCATCTCACAGGCTTGCCCAAGTGGCCGCCGTGCTTTGAGAAGTTGTCCCTGTTACCCGGCCAGCCGGATAAGGTGACAAATGAAAAGAGGAGACAAGAGCAGAAACAGAAGGTGGGCGATGAACTGGCCTGGGAGCTGAATGGGGTTCAACTGGGAAGCGACGCCCAGAAAGGAATGCATGGAACCCCAAAGCGGAGACCAGGCCCACCCTGACCTCCCCAATGGGGAGGGAGGAAGCGGGGGTCGCTGCTATCACTGCCTGGGTGGGAGCCACATTCTCCTTTGGCAAAGATTTCCCGATGGGCCTAGCTGGAACCCCGCCCCCACCACGCCCGACCCCCAAAGAAATGGAAAATTATGCAAGGAAATAAAAAAAAGACACAAGAGCCATATGGAATTCTCTATTTTCTCCCCTCACACCATCTGGCTGGGGAGCTAAGTGGAGAATGGCAACCGCATCGATCTAGGAGCTAACAAAATCTCCCAGCAACGGGAAGGCGGTCACGCGGGAGTTCAGTACCCCCACCAGGGCACTTTCCTAGCAAGATCTCGGGGGGCCACAGACGCTAATGGTCCCAGTGTCTGTGCCATGAGGCATATGTCCCGGGGATGCCCGTCAATACACACACCGCGGCGGAAGCACGCGTGGGCAGCATCATTGGCGAGACCTGGAAGATTATTCCATGATTCCTGGCTTCGCTCCTCTCCCTCAGCCAAGGGGCGGCTCCATCATGGAGTTCTCACCACACCACAAGCAACCCGGCACAGCACGCGCTCTACAATTCCTCAGCAGGCCACCCCGGCACCCCCAAACTGTGAAGACTAAAGTGTGTTTTGATCTAGCTTGCATGGCAGCCAACCCTGTCTTGATGGGAACATACTTGGTACCGCACCCCACTTGATCTGACAGAGGTGGCTGCAAGACCTCATGACCTGTCCCAGCTCTCCAGAAAGATCCATGCATTGCATATGTGGGTACACCAGACCTTGGGGGGGCAAAGAGGAGCACATGATAAAAGCACCATGTCACCTTTCAAACCCAAACTCTTCTGATTGTGAAACACGGCTGGCCCCCAAGACTGGGGGGAAACACCGCTGCTTAGAAGGCCCAGACTCTGGTGTTCGGTTGTCAGGTCTAAAGCACGTAAGTCTTAATCCAGTGCTGTTACAACTGCTCAAGAGGTGGAGAATGTTCTAGTGCCTGTCTCTCTCCCTTCGCTTCTCCCACTTTACCACTGAATTGGGCACATCTAATAGGAGGAGGTGGCGGGGGGTGGGGACTTTTAAAAACGGCTTCTTGAGCTATAATCTATGCATCATGAAATTCACCTGTTTTTAGGGTACAGTCAATGGTTTGGGGTGAAGTTGCAGAGGTGTGTAACCATCAGCACCATCTAATTTTAACCATCTCCATCCCTCCAAAAAAAACGATCCCTTATACCTATTAGCAGTTACTCCCCCCACTTCTTCCCCCACCATTTTCGGGAACCTTGAATCCCCTTTTTGTTTCTTCACAGTTGCCAACTGTGGACATTCCACAGAAATGGACTCGTGCAATGTGCGGCCTGCTGTGCCTGTCCTGCCCCTCAGCATCACGGTTTCAAGGCTCACTCCTTTTCATCGGTGGTATTCCCTGGCACAGAAATAGCACGACTAATGACAATCTGCAGAAGATTCCAGAACCTTCTCATCTATGAGGACAAATGTCTTATGTCACTTCTTGCTCACCTTTTCTGACCAAGACAGCACAAGCAGGCAGACCTGCGTCTGATAGCCAAACGTCAAATAAAGGCATGAATACAACCCCCCAGAGGAGAAGTAAACGCGGAGTCAGATTGCATGTTCATCACCGCGACATCACAATCTTGGTTTTAAAAGAAATAGTTTTATGAAGTCAATTACAGATTTTAGGACTTTATAATTCAATGGGTGTCTCACATTGTACCCGGGGACTGCTGCTTCTGGCGTTAGTTACAGGTTTCATACTGTCACTTCTGATTTATTCTAGAAAAAGCAAGCAACTCTCAGGGAGCAATGACACGGTTCAGGCGCAACCACCCCAGCCCTGAAAGCCCACTGTCATGCGGACGGGACCCGTCACCATCCCTTGAGAGCCACAAAGTCACTGGAAACCCCTAACTGAACTGAGGACTAGGACGCATGTGGATGCTGAGAAAGTGGAGGTGGGTGTGCATAGCGCTCAGCGTGCTCCCTCGCGTTGCACCAGACCTAGCAGTTCGGAGAACCCTGTGTTCCTGGGGCAGGGAACAGCAAAGCACCGCCCCCCCCTCCCGGACCTACCTGATGGGACTGAGTACCAGCTAGCCCAGCCTCCATTCAGGGGCTTTAATTTTTTTCCTTGGCAAAGGCAATGGCTCATGTTCAGAGAGGTACAAAGCAACGGGACAGGGTGGACACTGGGGGCGCCGGGGGGACTCTTGGAGCCCGGTTCTTGGGCCCATGGTTGACAGGTGTGACTCCCTCCCCACCCCACCCCTGGTTCAGACTTTGAAAGTTTCGCGGTTAACCCAAAGGCATATGTCATTGAACACTGCTTCCTTGGAGAAGAGGGGAGGGGAAGGAGGGAGGAAAGAGGCGAAAGATGGGGTGGAATGGAGAGGAGAGAAAAAGAAAGATGATTAAGGAAGTTTTCAGGGGCCAATTCCACCCACTCCCTTGTGAACAAATTAGTGCATCAAGCAAAACATAAAATATCACCAAACGGCAAGAGGCATTACAAATATTAACGATAACAGTTGACTTGCTATTAGAAGTCACCCCGAGGCTGTATTTACCTGGACTGCTCAAGGGGCTAGCCCTGTCCCCCAGTGTTGGCACGGGATGGTACTGGTGGTTCTTTGAGCCTGGGTACATCCAGTGGTACCTGCCAATTTCCATTTCAGCTCTGCTGTTCGCTGCCAATTTCAGGTGGCAAAGAGTCAGTGTCTCTATCTCCAGCAAAGATTCTTTATCAGCATTTTATTTATTCTTTTACCATATAAAGGAAATGGGGGATTTAAAACACAGGCTGTGAAATGCAACCTCTCGGTGCCATCTTATCAACGCAGCGCGCGATGAATCGACAAAGTCGGCCTTTGGATTCAAGTGGACAACAGTCCCCCGAGGTGTCTCTGTGCCCTTCTTTCCTCCGCCTTCCCCCACCTGAGAACGCTCATTTGGGGCACTTGCTATTTATCGTGAAAAACAAAAATCTGGCTCCTCACCAGGTCTCTTTCTGTTCTCTTGGCCTTCAGACCACCGAGCGCCAGCGCTGTCGCCGTGACTGCGCACGCCAAGGCACAGGCTCGCGCGCCGGGACGCCTCGAAAACCTGGCGACCAACCCCACGGTCCGCTGAGTCGTGAATGAAACTCTGGCCTGCCCACGGGCACCTGCGGCACTCTCCGCCCCCTTCTCTTAAGTCAGTACCTCAGAGTCCAGAATGCTCTCGATCCAACCCTGTTCCAGTCATCTCCCGGGGTTTTACACAGAAAGGGCTGCTGGTCGCGGGCGGGACCATTACTTTGTCACACACGAGCGACAAGCTACCCTACCTGGTAATGACAGCATTTCCCACTTCGGGGACTGGAGAGGAAACTATCCACTCGTTTGCCTGATAGGGTGTAGGCTGCCGCTAACTGGTAGTTGAATTGCAATCTTGACAACCAGAGCCCACAACATCAACATGGCCAGTGTGCCTGAGAATCCTCCAGCATAAGGGCTATGTTCTCTGAGGTGCCACAAATATTTAAGGAAAAAAAAATGATTCTGACACTGATGTGGGTGTGACTCCATCAGAAGATTGGATTATAGGGCTCCCTTTGGCACGTCGGGCCTCTGAGGAAAGGATCACATAGTGAGGGGAAGAGAGCAAAAGCCCTGACCAGCCCCACTCCAACCTCCAGGCCTTTCTGAAATCCCAGCCTCACTCTCCATGTGCTCGGAAAAGTCTCACGCTATTTCTGATCGGGAAGTGGAGACCTAACTTTTCTTTTCTTTTCTTTTCTTTTTTAAAAGATTTATTTATTTATGCATACGAGACCTGGGGTACAGACCAGAGATCTGAGGCTGAGAGGATTCACCAGAGACAGAGTGGGGAGCAGAACAGGCAGACTGACTGAAACACACTGCTGAGGGGAGCAGCAGGCGAGTCAGGAGAGGTCTGCTGCACCATGTGGGTAGCTCCCTGGCCAGGGATCGAACTCGTGCTGCAGTGGCTGTGGACAGCTTCATAGGCTGCATCTCAACCCCTTGGAGGCCCTGGAGACCTAACTTTTCTAGGGGGTGTTTAGAAAAATACTTTTTTTTTTTTTTGGCTTCAAGGTAAAGTAAAACTTGTTTTAATGAAAAGGGAAAAAAAGATACTAGGATCAGAACTGCACAATGAAACCATTTTTGCTGCTACTGTATCTGTTCTCAAGGATGATGGTGAAGGCTTGAAGCTGCGGGTGCTGTGGGGCCCCAGCAGTCATGGGGAGAGGCTCCCTCATGTGTCACCACCCCTCTGTGAGGCAGCTACTATCATTCTCCAGTCTTTACAGATGAAGAAACCAAGGGCCATGGGAAAGCCAGTCGCTGGCCAGGAGCCTTTGGGGCCTCCACACACTGACCTCATCCAAGCCAGGCCTGTGATTCAGGGAGTCTCTGCATAGCGCACACTCATTCTCTGCCCTCAACTCACAAGGGTAGGGGAGTCTCTGGACATGTGGCCAGTCAGGCACAGACACTAGGCAGAAGCCCGGACTAGCCAATGCTCATGGGTCTTCCAAAACCAAAACATGGCAGCCATGCCAGGGACGCTTAACTCTGCGCAAAGCCTGACTCCTCTGGCAGCTGTGGGGTGGGGCTGGAAGTGGGTGGATGCTTCCCAATACTTCCGGGGGGGGGGGCTTTTTACAACACTAAATCTTTAGATAGGAAAAGAAAGAAAATCACGTCTACTTTATATTTTTGAGCCAAATTTAAATAAAGACATTAAATACAAAGCTATTTATAAAATTGCACAAAGCAGAGCATACATTTCGAGCCCAAGGACAGGGCCCTGGCACTTAGGAGGCAGTGACTGGACAGCTCAGAGAAGCCTTGGCTTGAAAGGTGTATTAAAACACGCTTGATTCTGGGCCTGACAAGAAATGGGCAAACATACACCGCCAGGAAGCTCCTGGTTTGTGCCCTAAGAGGGAATTCTGCACATGTTCACCCTTTCATGCTTAGAGAGTAGGAGCTAGAGATGGCCAAAGAGCGATCTCGCTTCTTGAAGAAGCACAAGAGACTGACATCTGAGGTACTGTTTATGGCTGGTGCCGAGATGAGCAGAGATGGCTGATGGAGAGAGACACAACTGTGGGTGGTCATCGCCAGAGGTGGGTATGAAACGAACGATGGGAAGCAGATGCCTTACACCTGCCTGCCACCCCCCCCCCTCAATATTTATTTGCTGTGATTGAAATAAGTACAGATGGGCAGGCTTTGAAGCATCTAGGAAATTTATCACTGGAAGCGACTAAGTGACAGACTTTAAGCTTCCTAGAAAGGCCCTATCCACTGGACAAGGTCTTTGGAAACCACATTTATCATCATTTTGAGCTGTTATTTAAATAGTAAAGGAAAGCTGTGACACTGTTTGCCACAATAGTAAAAAGGTCCACTTGCTTTTATAAATAAAGTTTTATTGGCATGCACCCTCACCCACTGGTTCTCTATTATCTATGGCTGCTTTGGGGCTACAATGCCAGAGCTGAGCGGTTACCACAGAGGCTGTGTGGCCCACAAAGCCTAAAATATTTACCCTGTGGTCCTTTAGAGCTGAAGAGTGCTGAGCCTTGGTATTGCATACTCATAAAAGTTAATGCAATTAATCAAATCAACTGATAAAACAGAACTGATTGATTCTCTCTTATTACATGTACTCTGAAGAGAAGTATCACTGGGCAGATTAAGGATCAAAACTCTCCTCTCTGGCATTAGCTGCTATTTAATTTGTCACCACCAATCAGCCACAGTAAGGTTAAAACCAAGATTGGACTCACACTGTGGTCCCTAAGATGAGTCAGCCCCGCCTCCACTGCTGAAACGTGAACTGAGAAGACAGAGGAAGGATGATGACATCAGGGAGAACATGGTTAGATGAATAAATGAACAAATGCATGCACACCAGGCACCTCTGTAAAGCTGGGGTAGTGGCCTCTGTCTCTTAGAGGCCTATGTGCACCCCCTCTCCCTCTATCCCATGCATAGCCACCCCTACTCCCAGCCCGTCACCTCACATGGACGTACCTTTGGTCACAAGGGAGAAAAGCAAGAGTGTCTTTGGAACAACTCACCACCAGCTCTGGTGAGGGGAACTTTATGTCGTGGGGACACAGCCTGCCACCTAGGTCCTCAGCCAAGTCAAGGCTAAAAAATCATTTTATTATGATTATTTCCTCTAAACTGACCTGTAATTCCAACTAGCAGCGAAACCCGCCTTTTTAAGAATTAGAATCTAAACTAAGATCTCCGCTCCATTTTAAGGAGGGCAGATCTACATTCCCACAAGTGGCTCAGCACATTTTCTTTAAAGAAATAGCCAAGTCTTGAAAAATATGCTAGTGGAGACAGCGTTTCTAGAAGGGAGGGACACCAGATGACTTGAGATCTCCACATTAACATTTTCTTTAAAAAAAAGAAAACCACCAAGGAGAGAAAGCTGCATTATACCTACCACATATGTCCAGCACCACCTGGCCGGTCACGCTTTTCTCTACCGCCTATTCCCCAGACACCCTCTCTTCCAATGTCCTCCTTGGCAGATTCTTATAGAGAAAAACTGCATCTAAAACTTTTTCTGGGCCATAGTCACATAATCAAGTGAGAGAACATTAATAAAAATCTCAGAATCAAGCAATTCACAGACCACCGGGAACAGTGTCACAGGTTAAACCCTTTGGGCTTTTAGCACAAGGGGCCGTGCATCCCAGAAGAATGTTTTCCTTCCTCAACAAAAAAGGGAAGATCCAGAGTGTGCACATACTGATAAATTTTTTTTAAAAATGCATAATGAATTATCTATTGGGCAAAAATGATTTTAGTGGATGTGCACATTTTTTTTAAACGAGTCAACAATTTGAACTCATTTTGCACTTTATGTCCTGTAATTTAGTTTAAATTATACATCATTTCCAATTTGCCACATCTTTTCCCTGTGTGGTTAGAACTCAATTTGATGCCTTGGAATTCTGCAATTTATTTCCGTAATGATTCATAGGAGCTTAACTAGTCGGACAATAATTGTTTCAGTAGATTCCAATTTCCCACATGTAATAAAAATAACTTTCATCACAGATTCGTAGAGATTCTTTTTCGCACAATAGAGCAATTGATTCGATTGTTTTCCCCCCCTGTGATTACGCACTCCCAAGCTATTCCACATGCACTGGTTTTCGCAAATGAATTGCCATCGAGTGATACTCCGCTGGAATAAATAGGCGCCCAGCTCACATGTCCTTATTACCGAGTCCCGTGATCTATTTCCTTGATTCTGTCTTATTCATTTCCTCCACTTACTCCATTCCAGTGTATCTGTTTACTCAATCCTCACACTTTGATTTAATTTAATGCTTCCAATTTAAAAACTGTCATTTGTAATAATTTGGCCAGTTGGCATTTCTTACATCTGTCTGGGAAAACCTGCTGGCTCTCATGAAAAATTTCCTCCTATCGACTAAATGCTTCTTGTGAGTGTGGCCATCCAGAGGGTTCCATCAAAGCTCTGGGGCTGTTTCAGAGACACACATGGCTTTCTTTTTGTTAAGGACTCGGGTTACTTTTGTTTAAAATAGAAAAAAGTCCTTTGGATTTAATTTAAAGAAACGCCTCTCTTTGTCCTGGCGAAACTCCCAGGGAGGGACGCTGACCGGAAGAGTCAAGTCAACTGACAAAGGTACACTTAACTTCCATTCTGAATAAACACTCATCATTAGCCAAAGGCGTGCATTTGCAAGCCACTGGGCAATAACACCCCAAATTAAGAGAGGTATTGCCCCAGCGCTCAGGACTGAAAACCAACAGGAAGAAGGAACAGAGGAGAAAAAATAGCCATCCATAAAAAAAACTCTGTGGGAAGTGACAACACGTATAGGATTAAATTTAGTAGATTAAATCCTTTGCTGAAAGGCTTAAAAGGGGAGGGGGGGGGAAACAAAAAAAGAAGAAAAACTGATCCTCCAGGTCCAGAATTACGTAACGCAGCCTCTAATTCTGTGCAATTTTTCAACACTCGTTCCAAGGAAGCAAACATTTTATCAATTTAAAATGAAATCCAAGGCTCACTGGAGAGACAGGCAGCGGACATCTGTGACGTGGCTTGCGTTGCCCTGAGTGATAAACGGGTGAGCAAACTGGGGGGCTACAAAGGTGAGACGTGTGTACTCTGACTTGGTGCAGCTGACATGCGAACCTGTCCACCTAAACGAAGGTAAGCAGGTAAGCAGCCTCCAGAACAGCGCTGGGGGGAGCACGTCTATCACAGCCCCCGCGACTGCAGTAAAAATCCCAGCCCAGCCCTGCTCTCCCCGTGACAGCATCTGGTCACTTGCTCGTACCGTGACTTCCCCGCCACACAGCTCATGTTCATCATCGCTGCTCATTTTCCAAGCGCCTCCAGGAAAGATCTTTTTCCCTTCTAATTCTGTGGCTAAAACCACAGCTAACAAGTGCTCGTATCCAGACAGCCAGTGGAGGCAGGGGCTGGATTTGCAGCAGGGAGCATCTCCTTGACATAAAGTGCGAGCAGTGCCACAGCAGACAGACTAGCAGCAGTCGAGCCAGGCAATGGTGTAACGAGCATCTTACACGAACGTTACACCCCTGCTTGCTTTTGGAGAGAAAAATGGAAGATGTTTTTGCGGTGTCCAAAACGGTTTTTTCTGCCAGTGGCAAACACCATGTTCATAAAGCGTGGACTGAACAAAGTCATCGATTTGGGGGGAAAATGACTATAAATTGCAATAGGTTTCCTCATAGCAATACTATTACATGGTTTTATCCCCCAAACTTCATCTGTAATCCTCATGGAAATGAGTCCTTAAACTTTTACCTCTGTTCCTCAGTCTCATAAATAGCCCCAAGAGCTTTTCTCACTGTTACTTGGTCAATCCTGCAAATTAAATAGATTTCCTACAAGAAAAGGCAACATTTAGTGATTTATTTTTTTGCTGGTTTACTTGGGGCAGGGGGTGGGGCAGGCTTGATGCTGGAAATGAACTAATAAAATGAACTTGGATGTACTTGATGCCACTGAATTACGCCCTTAAAACGGTTCAGATGGCAAATTTTATGTTGCCTTGATTTTAGCAAACTTTAAAAACTGAATTTCAAAATGAAATTACTCGGTTTAGGATACAATACTACTTAAGTATTGCATAAGAAAGAAATTCCATGTACACACGAGCAGCCTGGCCCCAAGCATGGTAAGTTGAAATACATGACACCCTGTAGGTGGAAAATGGTTGACAATCAACAATTTCAGATGGTCCAACCTACATCGTCACAAGTAAAGCGGAGTTGCCCCTCCACCCTGGGAATGACTATTCCTTTGTGACTGTCAGGGTTGCCAGTTGCCAGAGAAATAACCTGAGCAGGAGGGTTTTTGATGTCAGAGTCACTAGACATGTTCTGGTGTCTTCCTGACAGTCTATAACTTTGAGTGAAGGAGATAAATGTCAATGCGGTGAGATGCTGTTAACCTAACAGTGGCTGAGCCGATTCCTGGGGCATCAAACTTGAAATCAGTCATTACCTAGGCAAGGACAGATGCATTTAGTTTCTAGTTTCTGCCATTTTTTCTTACCACAAAAACATGGATTTCTCCGAAAAAAACATTCCGTATGTCACAATCGTACCAGATCTGGTTTGTTCTGAGACTCCCTTTGAGGATCAGGACCTTGATCAATTTTTCTCTCCTAAATCTCCCAAGTCCTGAATAATGGAGCCCAGCCACCCCCACCCGCAACTCACACCAGACCACAGAGGGAACGTCCGCTCTGTCAAGCTCCAACGGGAAATGGCTATTACGTGTCTGCCACAGCGAAACAGCCATCCTTTTCAATCAGCAAATTAGAGAATGTCCAAATTGCTCCAGCAAAAGCACATTTAATATGCGTGCCCGCCGCTCCTCGGCAGCAGCGGCAGACAACGCATCCCGGGCCGTGGGGCGCAGCATGCGGGACCTGGGACCTAGTCACGGCCATTGCGTTCTTTTTCCTAAAGCCCGTTTCCCCAAGGCGGCAGCCCTCGGTGCCGACCTGCGGGCACAGACCTGCGGGCACGCCGCTCGCCGCCCCGCCTTCGGGAGGAAGCTCTGGCACAGGAGCGGGTGCGAAAAGGCTGATTCGCATCAGCCCGCAGGAGAAAGCCAGCCCGACAGCGGGCCCCGCCACGGGTCACGGGGGCTGCTTCCGAGCTATTGAGCGAGAGACGCGGGATCGGGCAGCCCTGCTCAAGCACCCCCGGTGAAAAGCCTTGAGCGGACGATTGCCGGCGCGCGGGGTACCTTTTCTCTCTTGGCTTTGCTCAGTGTTCTCCTCGGCCGCAGTTTCCATGGCTGGCTTCATACCATCCACCAAAAATGCTCTGCCCCGCTCCCCCCGGCACACACTTCTCCCCTCCTCTTCCTTGTCTTTCGGGCTCCCCTCCGGCTGCTATTCACACCCCGTGATTGAGAGGTCCTGTTCCGCACCACAGTGGCGCTCAGTCCTCTCCAAGCCGCCAGAGGCTCGGCGGCGTCAACCTCCCTCTGCCTACTGGTCCGTAAAGGCAGCTGCCAGGGAACAGGCAGCCATACGTCACCGAGGATCCCAGTTATAAAACAGCCTTTCTGTGCCCGCGGGTGCCTCAATGCGGCTCCCTCCTGGGGAGGGGGGACCAGCCCGCTCCCCCGCCGCTCGCCCTCCGCCTGCTCCTCCTCACTCTCCTCCACACGCTCTCCGCTGGCTGCTGGCTCCCCTTCTCCCGCTGCTTCTCTCTCCCAGCCCTGCGCCCGCTGAATGCTAATGAATTCTCCCAGGAAGAACAGATTGGTGACATCAGAGGAGGGGCCGCGGAGGAGAAAGGAAAGCGCCCCCTCCCACCACGTGACCCGCCAGCCACCACGTGTGTCGCCTCTCCGGAGAAGGCTGCTTCTGGGAGCCGGCCTTCCCTCCCCTGGCGCCCCTCCATGGGGCGATCGTTGGGTTCATGCACTCCCGACCCCCGCAGAGCATCCTCCAAGGACTTGCCCACAGTCTCTCTCTTTTGTTTGCTTGCTTTGTTACTTGTCGCTCACCCCACCTCTGCCTAGACGGAGCGACTGAACTACATGGAGTGAAGAGAGGAGCAAAGCCCAGGCCCGGGAGCTAACACTAGCACTGCAGCAGCTGAGCCCCGGAGCACACCTCCTGGCCCACGGCGAGGGCGCGGCGCGGAGAGGGCCGTCCGCTCGAGCCCAAGTCATCATCCCCTGCCCTTACCCGCACACACGCCTCGCGGGCCACACGTCTACCTCGCCCGGCGCAGGCGGCTTCGTGGAATGCAAACCAGAAAAGCTTATTTCTATGTGGAGATTTATTCCTTTAGAGTCCCTTCCCTCAAGTCAGAAGGGTATTGTCAAGAGCGTGCTGAACGGTCAGCAGCAAACACCCATCACCACGCTGACTGCTGCTGTCACAGGCCTTCTTGCAGACTCAGGCCTGCGGCTCGTACTCACTGTCCCTGTTTTTTAAAATGACAGAAACTCGAGTCAGACACAGGGCCCTGGGTTCCCCGACCCAGAACACAAGCTGCACGTTGGCTGAACTCCCATCTTGGAGGCCAACATGAAGGCTGCTTGGAGGCCCCACTCTCCTAAAAAACTCTCCCAAGTTTAAGGCTTTGTTGCTTCCCAATTACAACAGCAAACAAACAAATGAGTGAGATCCTGCATCAAAATCCTCTCACAACCCGATCTCCTCCTGCGTTCTGCCACTCCCAAAGCCTTCTAGACTCAATACCTCTGGCGCTGCTCAACCAGGAAAGATTTTGCAAACCAGTTTGGCCTGCTTCAACATTTTTTCACTTGACATCTCATTTTTCACTTTAACCACAGTCCAAGAGGGCCACGCCCACTGTCAACGAGACCCTTACCTCACAGCCCCGGCTCATTTCATGGTCTCCTGGCCGGGGAGCTGAGAAGCATGGCGGCCACAGGTTCAGATTTTGGAAAGAGCCTTGTTTGTGACGTGCCCTGCTCCATGGGAAACCCCCTGATGTGTCCTGTACACTTTTGCAAAGAGAATGTCGGTCCATTCAGATGGAAAGATGGCAGCTGCTGCTCTGTGATGGGCCTGCTGGCCCGCAGTGGATCCGGGGAGAAAAAAGTTCAATTTAGCAGAAAAGGGGGCCATTGTGATTTGCTGTGGTGTTCATTTTTAAAAAGTGTCTTGCAAAGAGCCACTCATTTACAAAAGCGGCGGGAAAAAATATTTCTCTTTGTCTTTTACTGAAGAATATTATTTTTAAATGTCACTAGAAACGGGCCGGAGGGCTAGGGAAGGCAGAGTCTCCTCTCGCTCTGCATCTGGAATCCAAACTATTAGACAAAATAGTCACAAATTCTCCAGCTGATACTGTGATCTGCTTTCACCCAGGAAAACTACTTGCAAAGGGACAATTCAGCCCTTGTGTCCGATTCATAACTTCGTGTTCTTTTCACTGGGCTGATAACGCATGATAATTCCAAAAGTTACCACCTTGCTCAGCCTCGCCCACCTCACTGCTCTTTACCATAAACCACGTGAGTCAGAAAAAACAGGACAGAAAAACTGACCACAGCCACAAAGAAAACAGGCCAATTTTGTAACCTCTTTGAGGTGCGCATCCATGATTTTGGCAAACGCAGGCCTATAGAGAAAGATGGAAAATGGCGCTCAGAGTGGGACATTATTCTCTGGGCTTGTGCTCCCGGCAACCTCGTGGGAGGTAAGAAGTTCTGAGAGTCAAGACAGGAATAACAGGGCCTCCCTGGTGGCGCAGGGGTTAAGCCTCAGCACTATGAAGCTATCTGCAGCCTCTGTAGCATGAGTTTGATCCCCAGACAGGGAGCTACCCACATGGCGCAGCAGACCTCTCCCGTCTCACCCGCTGCTCCCCTCAGCAGTGCCTTTCAGTAGATCTGCCTGTTCTGCTCCCCACTCTGTCTCTGGTGAATCCTCTCCCCCTACACCTCTGGCCTGCACCCCAGTTCTTGTATGCATAAATAATAAATAAATCTTTTTTTAAAAGACAGGAATAACAAATATGGACACAAAACGGATATATTCATTGAATGATACAAAATGGCTGATACTAAGAAGAGTAGTTTCACAGGGTTCATCTTATCTATTTGTAAGTCTTCTAGAGAATTCCAGGCAGGTCGGTAAGCACGCATGGAATAATCTTTCAAGGGCTAACATCTACAAGCAAAACAGACAGGCAGGACAGTTGGCGCCTGTCTCCAGTCAACCCACAGGTTAATGGACCAGAGAGAACTCTCCAGAAGCAGATTAGTCCTACCTGCTGCAAGCAATATAGGATCACAACAAAGACAGGTGAGAGGAGGGGGAAGAGGATTTGAGGCAAGTTTGACAGAGTTGACTTGGCTACTGCAATAGAAACCGGGGTGGGGAAGGGCAGGGTAGGGAAGGGCAGGGAAAGGGAAGGGAGGGAAGGAAAGGCAGAGGATGGAGAAGGGCAAGGAAGAGAAGGTGGGGAGAAGATTTTTCTGACAGAGCGGCCAGAGCTCAGGGCGTGGGTGGTGGGGATGGTCAGCCAGGAGGCCGGGCTGGCTGGGCACCGGAGCAGTGGGCACCTCGCTACTCCTGGAGCAGTTGGGGGGGGGGGCTTGAGAGCAGGCCCCACCTGTGCTCACAAAGGACACGCTGTGGGGACTGCAAAGGACAGAACAGGTGAGGCCAGCGGCGGTGAGACGGTGCCAGCAAGAGACAGCGAGGCCGGAAGTACAGCCCGGGGGGAAGCGGGGACAGGAAGGATGGCCGCCTCCTCAATGCTGATGCCTGGAGGTGAGCGAGGAGGAGGATTTTAGGGGAGTGTGGTTGTTTGTAGCTCGGGTGAGTGAGGAGATGGTCTGCTGTGAAGCAAAACTGGGAAGCCAAGTGGAGGGAGAGGTTGGGAGGGAGAGGAGCATGCTGGGTTCCGGGGCCAGGGCGGCCCACAGCTGACCAGCAGGCGTCTGGGAACACAGCGCCCAAGGAGAGGGCTGACTGCAAACAAGGACATGGGCGTCTCCTGCCAGGAGGTAGTCCAGGGAGTACAAAGGTAGAGCTCTGCTCAAATGACCCCTGCCCCCTCTCAGGGGACCCTTCCTGACTCTCCAATCTAAAATGGCAGCCCTGACATGCTCAGGCTCCTTCCAGAGCGGGGTTTTTCTTATCATGGAAACCATGGCCCAGCACTGATCTAGCTACTTGTTTACTGTCTGTCTTTCCCCCCTAAAATATAAGCCCTTTGAAGAACAGACTTTCTTTGGTTTATTCTTGTTCTCTGCTGTATCACCAGCTTCTAGAATCTTCCCTGGCACACAGTAACTCCTCAACAAATAGCGCCTAAATGAACAGGGAGCAAATGACCAAGGAGAAAGATGACCAATAGCACTGAGAGGAGAATGTAACACACCTTAGCACTTAAACGCAAAGGTAAAGGAAAAGCTTTTAAGCAAAGGTGGAAGAGACTAAGAAGGAAAAATTAGGCCCTCCCTGGTGGCCGAGGGGTTAAGTCTCAGTGCTGTCACCACTATGGCCTGAGTTTGATTCCCAGCCTGGGAGCGGCCCACATGGCGCAGCAGACCTCTCCTGTCTCCCCGCTGCTCCCCTCAGCAGTGCGTTTCAGTCAATCCGTCCGTTCTGCTCCCCGCTCTGTCTCTGGGGAGTCCTCTTACCTTCCCTCCTCACCTCTGGCCTGCACCCCAGCTCTTCTATGCAAAAATAAATAAAAGCTTACCACTGCCCACCCCCCCCCTACAAAAAAAGGAGACAAATCAGAAAAGCAGGGGAACAAGGCCAAAGCGGGGTTATGGCATCGCAGGCGAGTCCCATGACGGGCATAAGGCTCCTGGTGCCCCAAGCTGTTGGCGGAGCAAAGGAGGGCACGGACGGGCATGCAAAACGTACCTTTCACCAGCAAACGGCCGCTGGAAGTTCCCTAGAAGAGGTCTGGTTGAATGACAAGCACAGGAGCAAGACTGTCAAGTCTTTTTCACAATTATTACTCTCAAAAAAGGACGCTCCCGTGGTCCAACTAAAATCTTTATTTCATACCTAGGGCTTCGTGCCACCTGGACACCTTGGTTTAGTTTCCAATTGGCAGAGAAAATTTGGTTCTTTTCTATGATCTAGTCCATTAATAAGCCTCTCTCTCTCTCTCTCTCTCTCTCTCTCTCTCTCTGTCTCCCCACCATCAAGGAGCTCTCCAACAATTCAACTCAATTCTGACGCCATCTACCTGGAGGATCCACAGGTTAAGGGCTCAGTCCCATAACTGGTCCCTCGCGCCCACCTCCCCCTACCCCCGTCACATGCCAATCACAAGTCCAGGCTGTCACCTGGTTGTTACCTGTCGCCTGTGCTTTTGACCAACTGGCTGAAGACTGTGGATTCCAATGACCACCTCTCTTTAGGATTTATTTGTCAGAACAGCTCACAGAACTCTGAGGGATATTTTATTTTCTAAATCACCAGGTTATGACAAAGGAGCTGATAGGACATGAAGCCAAATGAAGACATGGCTCCAGGCACTGGGAAGGGGCAGAAAGCTTCCTCACCCCACACTCTCTGGGTGCGTCACTCTCCCCTGATCCAGAAGCTCTCCCACCTCCCACCCCTGCCTTTTGAGGGGTTTTGTGGAGGAGGCTTCATTACAGAGACAGGAACATGAAATCATTGACCACTGGGGACAGACCTCCATCTCCAGCCCCTCTTACTTCCTGGATGTCATGCC